TTCATTGCCAAACTCTTTTTATGAGGCCACAATAACTTTGGTATCCAAGCCTCACAAAGACACAACTAAGAAAGAAAACTATAGACCAATATCCCTGATGAACATCGATGCAAAAATACTCAATAAAATACTGGCAAACCAAATTCAAGAATACATCAGAGAAATCATCCACAATGACCAAGTAGGCTTCATCCCTGGATTGCAGGGATGGTTTAACGTATGAAAATCCATCAACGTGATCCAACATATAAACAAACTGAAAAAGAAAAATCATATCATTATCTCCCTAGATGCTGAAAAAGCCTTCCACAAAATTCAACACCCTTTCATGATAAAGGTCTTGGAGAGGTCAGGGATAACAGGAACATACCTAAACATAATAAGAGCAATATACAGCAAACCAACTGCCAACATCAAATTGAATTGAGAGAAACTTAAGCCAATTCCTCTAAAATCAGGAACAAGACAAGGCTGCCCTCTCTCTCCATATCTCTTCAATATCGTACTAGAAGTTCTAACTAATGCTATAAGACAACAAAAGGAGATCAAGGGGATCCAAATTGGAAAGGAAGAAGTCAAACTGTCTCTATTTGCAGGTGATATGATAGTTTACATAAGCGACCCACTAAACTCTACCAGGGAACTCCAACAGCTGATAAACACCTTCAGCAAACTAGTAGGATACAAGATAAACTCAAAAAAATCAGTAGCCCTACTTTTTTCAGACGACAAAGAGACAGAGAAAGAAATCAGAGAAACATCACCCTTTACAATAGCCACAAGCAACATAAAGTATCTTGGGGTAATGCTTACCAAAGAAGTAAAAGACCTATATAATAAGAACTTTGTGGCTATAAAGAAAGAAATTAAAGAAGATACCAGAAAATGGAAAGATCTCCTATGCTCTTGGATAGGTAGGATAAACATAGTAAAAATGGCAATCTTGCCAAAAGCAATCTACGGATTCAATGCAATCCCCATTAAAATCCCAGCACAATTCTTCACCGACCTTGAAAGGATAATAATCAACTTTATGTGGAAAAGCAAAAGACCCAGGATAGCCAAAACATCCCTACACAATAAAAGAACTTCAGGGGGCATCACCATTCCTGACTTTAAGCACTACTACAGAGCTATAGTTCTGAAAACAGCCTTGTATTGGCACAAAAATAGGTAGAACAATGGAGTTGAATTGAAAATCCTGATATTAACTCACACACCTATGAACACCTGATTTTCGACAAAACAACTAAAATTATACAATGGGGTGAGGACAGCATCTTCAACAAATGGTGCTGGCACAACTGAATCAGGGTGTGTAGAAGATTGCAGGTAGACCCATGTCTGTCACCACGCACAAACTCAAGTCCAAATGGATCAAAGACCTCAGCATCAATCCAGCCACATTGAACCCCTTAGAAGAGAAAGTAGCAGGTACCCTTGAACAAATTGGTATAGGAGACTGCTTCCTGAACATAACTCCAGGGGCACAAACACTGAGAGTAACAATTAATAAATGGGACCTCTTCAAACTTAGAAGTTTTCTGTAAGGCAAAGGAGTCGACAAGACAAAATGGCAGCCCACAGACTGGGAAAAGATTTTCACCAATCCTATATCCACCAAAGGGCTGATCTCCAAAATATACAAAGAACTCAAGAAACTAGTCAACAAAACACCAAATAACCCTATTAAAAAGAGAGAATTCTCAATAGAGGAAATCAAAAAGGCTGAAAGAAACTTAAGAAAATGCTCCACATCCTTAGTTATCAGGCAAATGCAAATCAAAACAACTTTGAGATACCATCTTACTCCTGCCAGAATGGCTAAAATTAGAAACACCAATGACAACTCATGCTGGAGAGGATGTGGAGAAAGGGGAACACTTCTCCATTGCTGGTGGGAGTGCAAATTTGTACAGTCATTTTGAAGATCAGCATGGCGGTTCCTCAGGAAAATGGGAATTAGTTTACCACAGGACCCGGCAATCCCCCTCTTAGGCATATACCCAAATGATCCACATCCATGCAACAAAGATATCTGTTCAACTATGTTCATAGTAGCACTATTTGTAATAGCAAGAACCTGGAAGCAACCTAGATGCCCCTCAATTGAAGAATGGATAATGAAGATGTGGCACATCTACACAATGGAATACTACTCTGCAGAAAAAAATAATTGTATCTTGAAATTCACAGGCAAGTGGATGGCACTTGAAGAAACTATCCTGAATGAGGTAGCCCAGTCACAAAAAGAGGAACATAGCATGTACTCACTCATATATGGATTTTAGACCTAGAGCAAAGGATCACCAGCCTGTAATTCACACCACCAGAGGAACTAGGATACAAAGTGTATTCTAAGAGATTCATATAAAGTCCCTCACAGAAGCGGGAAGGGAAGGGACACGTCCCCCTGGGGGGCAGTGAATGGAGAGAGAAGTAGGAGAAAGCGAGGGGAAGGAGATGTAAACACGTGTGACTAGGAAGATTGAGTCCAGTTAGGAATAAAAGACAGGAGAGAGAGAGAGAGAGAGAGAGAGAGAGAGAGAGAGAGAGAGAGAGAGAGAGAGAGAGAGAGAAGAACATAAAAGAGGGAGTCAATATTGGTTTGAAGAGAAAACTGAACCCAAAGAAAGGTCTAGAGAACTACAAGACTGCTGCCAACTAACAATCTGAGCAACCTTGGAAAGGCTACCATAAATGCCCTTCCCGGATAGTGAGATCATCAACTAACTTATCCATGGAGCCCTCATCTAATACCTGTTGGAAACAGGAGCAAACACCCATACATAAACACTGAGTTGAACTAGAACCCAGATGCAGATGGAGAGGACATGACCAGACCGCAGAAACACATAGAAACAGTTGACCTGAAAAAGGTGGAGCTAAAGTACCACCAGACTGATAGCTGGGAATCCAGCATGGGACTGACTCAGGCCCCCCTGAATATGAGTCTCAGCCAGAAGGACTGAGCAGTCTAAGGGACCTCAGACAGTGGAACCAGGATGTATCCCTGGTGTACAAAAGGACTTGCGAACATATCCCCCATGGAGGGATAACTGCCTTATTCTAGAGACAGGAGAGAAGCCCTAGTCCCTACTTCACATGACCTTCAGATCTACATGACCGCAACTGGATGGCATTCCCCTACATATGGAATTGGGGTGAGGGGATGGAAGGAGAGGGTGGTTAGTGTGAATGTGAGAGGGCAGAGAGGGTAAAAGTGAGAGAGGAAGGGAGGGAGGGGGGAACTGGGATTGACATGTAAAATAATAAATTAAATAAAAAAATAGCTATACGCATTATTATCATCTTTACCAAGGTTAATCCTAACTTCACCTGGAAGCCAGTTCTTTGTGGTCTCCCTCCTGTGCTTCTGTGATATATGGAACATATTCTATTACAAAGCCCTGTCTGATGCTTGACTGCATGTCCACTATACTGCAAGCATCTTCAAGCCAAGACAGAATCATAGCAAAGCACTAGACTAAAGATCCAGACCAAACAAGTGCCCGCTAGCCTGTGTTTTTAAGATAAATTAACATTCATCAACTGGTTTCTTTAAAGTAGATTCATTTAGATTATTGATTTTCTTAAAATCAGACTAAGGTTAGGTAAGGGCTGGAAGATGGTTGGTTGATTGAGCCCTTGCCTCTGATATTAGTTACTCTTCTGTTGATGTAATAAAACATCATAAAGACAGCTTAAGGAAGAGATTATTTTAGCTTCCGGTCCAGAGGCTTAGATGTCTACAGAGTTGGGGTTGCCATGGTGATAGAAGAAGAATGCTGAGAACACATCTCAACTACACAGGAAGGAGAAAGAATGAATTGGGAGTGGGGTGAGGTTATAAATCCTCAAAGCCCACCCCTATTGGTATACTTCTTCCAGCAAGGCTGCAACTCCTAAAGGTTTCATAATCTCCATCAACATTGCTACCAGCTAGAAACTAACTGTTGAAATACAGGAGCCTATGGGGGACAGTTCTTACTCAAGCACCATACCCCTGAGGCACGAGGGTCACCAGAATCCATGAGTAATGCCAGACAAACCAGAAGGTCCCTACAATCCTAATGCTGGGAAGGTAGGAACAGAGGTGCCCCAGGGAGCTTGCTGCCCAAGTAGCCAGCCTTTCCAAATTGGAAAATTCCAGATTTACATATTCCACATGAATATGTAAATAGACATATGCTTCCCTCAACACACATACATAAACATCACACAATACTGATGGGCAAATACCTAGCCCGAAAGCCTTGTGCAGCTTTGGAGAATTTATAAGTACTCCTGGCAAACTGTTGGTAAAGGCGTGTGCAAGTGGGCTTGTCTCTGAAGAGACAACATCCCATTTCCCAACACCACCCTCATTGTCAGTGCACTGCTTATATAGAGCTGTTGAGTTGAAATTATTTAATATTGGGGTCAACAAACTTCTCTATAGAGCCAAATAATAAAAATACCTTACCTTTACTTTACACTGAGTTTATCATCTCTGTGATGGTATAGTGGAAAAAAAATGGCCACAAACAACATACAAATAGATTCTCCTTCGACATTCTAGTAGACCTCCATTTACACAAACAAGGAGTAAATGTTCCACCTGTGTTGTTCGGTAACCTTCACCTAAACTGTATTTTCTTCATATAAGATAAAGGAAAAAATAACCACATTTATACCAACCATAGTAATGAACACTATGAAAATGCTGCATGTTACAATTTTATAAATCTCTATATCCATGGGTAGCCACACATTGTGGCTATGAGGAAACCAATTGTTTTCCAAAGTCCTGTCCTCCGTATATTTGCCCAGTTTACACATAAGTTCTGCCACTCTTCACTGCCTCCCAGATTATCTAGTTTTCATGAGACAGTAGAACCCCTGAAAGTTATGCTCCAAAACAATAATAATAATTAAAAAAAAACCCTGAGATGACTTTGCTTGAAATGACATCAGTGTGGTATCTGCACAGAGGGCTGAACAACAGCTCCAGCACTGACCTGTACAGGAAGTCCTCGAAGGAAGGGCGCACTGGGTACCCATAGCGGAACAGTTTCACCAGCCCCAGCACACCGAGGTACTGCAGCTGGGCAGACACATAGAAGTGGTCAAACACACCAGGCAGCTGTGAGGTATTGGGCTTGATGCAGTGGATGAAGTGTGGACTGCCCCTCTGCAGCTTCCCAGTGATGTCAGCCAGAGATTTCTGTGGAAAGAGAAGAACATAACTGATTCCCGGGAGAGAAGGTGGGTGGGAGTACAAAGCCGTCTAAACAGGAATCTCTGAATGCAATCTGTGACATATTTGTGTATTGTACATTGCATTGCGTTTGTGTGCAAATGTGCAACATGTGTATGGCCTTCCTTTTGAAGGTACTCAATGCTAATGGAAAACAAACTGTAACACTAACACATTACAGTTGAAACAAACACCAAGCTTTTGAATCTGAGCGTCACTAACCGTGAGTTGTGATGCAGTGGTGACAGAGTCTCCGCGTTCCAGTCTTTGTAGGAAAGTTGAAGATCCCTTCTTTTTTAATAGCTGTAGGAGGTGACAAGCAGGATATAGATTTAGCACATTAGCTTCCGGTTTGGAAAGAAAAAAGAGAAATTAGGTTTTGTGCTCATGTTAATGCATTTATAGACAGATACATAAACCAGAGGTCATAAGAGTCAGGACCAAAGGACTGAGGTGATGTTACTGCAGGTTCAGGAGATGGGCAGGTATGGGTAAGGTAACAGTCACTGCTGTGAACCTTTCATGCTCAGGCTCTTATGTAAATTGCCACCACCTGTCCCTATCTTGATTTCATAGCAAAGACAGATTAGACAAATACAAGAAGTTCTCTACAGTGTCCTGCCTATTTACTAGCTGTTCATGTTAGTTGTGAAATGTAGCTTATCCTGTGGCAAAAAAATGGTATTTTATTATAATTTTGTTCTTATAGTTGCTCTCTTAACTTTAAGACAATTATCATTACATAGATGTGTGGGTTTGACAAATTCTTGGGTTTCTCCCCCCCCCATCCTTTATTTTTGTTTTCAACTGATAGAAGGGATGGGTCAGTAAGGTGCTTATCCTTGGAAACTGACCGAAGACTGTGTTCTTTGATAAACAATAAAGCTAGCTTTTAAAAGAGAAAAAAAATCATATGTAGCAAAGATTAAGTAATAATAGAAAAAATGTAAAAGACAGTGAAAATGGTGCTGCTGAGTGAATAAAGGACAGGAGGCAATTAATTAAATCCCCCAAGGGATAGAAAGATGCCACATTACATTTCAAAGAACCACAAGGGTGTAGACTCACATATCCACCACCCTAAAATCATTTCTCTTAACACTGTGGAAGGAAAAAATTCTGACGAAACACAATTATCTGCTTGGTAGTGCGATGAGGGCAGCAGCTAATGAAATACAATCATCTGTTTGCTACCACGAGGACATGGGCTCATTTCCTTCCATTAAGATGAGCTATGCAAGGTAGTGATTCATTGCGGCTGACAAGGGAATGCAAAATGAAACACTTGGCCAGCATCAACCCATGTCTACAAATTCAATGCTAAAGTCGTGTCCAGTTAAGGAATGGGTGAAATGCCATGCTTCTGGCCCAGGGGTAGATGTACAAGTCTGGGCTAGATTGAAGGGAAAAGTAAGGAAAGTGGGAAACAATGAGTTTAAGAGATGTGAAAATTATGTCTCCACCTCCAGAGGTGGCACAAGGTTGCTCTTCCTGGACAGCTTGCTCCTGTGAATTATATCTCTTCTCTAGTCCTTCAGGGAAAGCTGAATGGCATCCAGGTCTCAAGCACTTAATAACTGAGGTTAAAAATTACAGTTGAGGCATATGGAAATTTCTTACTGTTGATGTACAGTCTGGATGAAAAGGGAAAGGCCAGAGGTGCTAAGACCCTCAGAATTAAGCTCTTCCCACAGGAAACCCTTGTCTTTATAATGTAGAGATGATTTTACCTGGGCTATGAGAGGGGATTCCTACCAAGTCTAATTCTGCAACTTGCCGAAGGGTCACTAACTTTTGGGACTACCAACTAAAGGGACTACACACAACACACACAATACACACACAGACACATACACACAAGCATAGGCACACATATAGACATACACAGAAGTACATGCATACATACTCAGGCAAACACACACACACACAGGCATGCACACATATATACAAACATACATATACAATTATACATACACATATACATATACGTGCACACAAGCACACACAATACTTACACACACAAGTATGCTGTGCATGCACATACAGACATATACAGACAGTCATACACATACATGAAAGCACACACATGCACAAATACACATATACATGGACAGGCATACACATTCATACATGTACATGCATAAACACAATGGCATAATATACATATTTATACAAAAGCATACCCATACATGCACTTATATACATATGCATACATATACACACATAGATGTACATACATGTGCACACATATAAATGCATACAGTAACAAAATGCACTGAATGCATGCACATACATATGCACACATGTACCCACATACACACTCACAAAATCCACGAGTATACAATATACATGTGGAGGTATATGAACATGTACATGCACATATATACACACTTATACACAAGTTCATACATACACACACACACACACACACACACACACACACACACACACATCTGTCACTTTTCAAAAAGGGCAGAATTTCAAGCTATACTTTCCTTTGAACTGGAACACTAAGGTATGTTTCAACCTGCCTCAGTAACTGCATTTCCAAAACCAATTATTCTCAACCCCTTCAGAATTATGCTTATCCTCTTCTATACTTTGGTAGACACAAGCAAGAAACTGGAAAGCAGTCTGCTTTTATGTTCTCAAGAAACAAAGCAGTGTATATCCATCACTACTGCACTTGAAATAACTCTACATGAAGGTTTTAGTTCCCTTTTAGAAATGGATCCTTTAGTCATAAATCTGACCTATGTGGAGGAAACACACTATCAATTAGTATAATATGAAAGCAAGCTGAAAGTCTACAAATATGCACTAGAAGCATTCTGGTCCTTGGAAAATAGGAGAAATGACAATTTATAATTTACAGACTCCAAACCTTGCAAACACTCAGACCCATAAGCTAAGTAAGTTTACTTCTTCTGACCCAAGTGCCCTGGAGTTACTTTGCAAACATCCAAAAAGATGGTTATAAAGATAAAAATGAGAAGAATGTCTCGCATAACAACCAATGGTATCGCTGTAAAACCATGCTCACACTGAATTGTCACTAGACTGAACCTTTCTTTTTGCATAATTATAACCTTGGAAGCTACTTATCTTAGTTAGAATTAACTGTTAACTTGACACAGCCTAAAGGCACCTGAAAGAAAAGTCTCAATTGAGTGACTGTCTTTATCAGTTGGCCTGTGAGGCATTGGCTTATTCAGTGTTAGAGAGTCCAGCCCACTGTGAGTGGTATCCGTTTCTTGGACAACTGGCCCTGGGCTGTGCTGTATGAGAAACCTAGCTAAGATGAACCAGTAAGCCAGCCAGAGAATGAATCAGCAAGCTGCACTCCCCCTTGGTCTCTGTTTCAGATTTCTGCCTTGAGTTTCTGCCCTGATTTCCCTCAGGGATGGACTGAGACTTGGAAGTGGGATAAAATGAGCCCTTTTCTCCCTAAATTGTTTTAGTCATGGTGTTTGTCACAGCAACATAAAGGCAACCAGGCCGGCATCTTCCCTTTTAATTCCTTCCGTCAGAATGTGGGTGTCTTTCCACTGTATTATGAGAGAAGAGATTGCACTAAGTAAACTTAAACATCCCCAAAGTAAGAACAATGAAACTCCTACCTTGCTAAGTTCTAGGTAATTCTTGTTTGTTCCAATCATCGAAGAGGCAGTTCTCTTACTGAGTGTGGTGGATTTGTGTCCTCGGAATTTAAATGATGGGTAGGAAGATATGAGCGATCCTGTTTGTGACAGTTTTGACTGGAACAAATGACTGATCACAACATTTTCACTTGCTAGGAGATAAATAGATGAACATTGTAAGTGACATTAAAAATTACTGCCAAACGTTAGGCTCACTCTCCATGGAAGTATCCCTTCCCCATTCTGTGTGGACAATGTTGTTGATACAGTGAACAGTGGAGACTACTTTTGCCTGGGCTCCATGTTATTTCCACCAGCATTCATTTCTCCTGACAGATGATGGCTCTCATCACCCTTGACTTTAGTCTTGATCACAGCTTCCCAACCTGAGCTTTTGGCTGGTGGCTCTCCAAGTACTACACTTCCTCCTGTCTGGGTTGTCAGCACTGAATCTTACCAGCTCAGACCTGACAGGTTTTTGTGTGCTTGACAGTCATAAAAACATAAGTTTCTGGCAGCAATTCCCCACTGCAAGAAAATAACTACCCCATCTACAAGACATTCCACCATGCTAACCCTGTTCAGAGAAGTATTTAAACACTGTGTTGACACCGTGTTGAAGCCACCTCCTTTGGTTCCATCTTTGGTTTGCATTAGGTTAAAGCAAAAACCCTGAATTTAGCTACAGAGGTGGGATGATCCATTCTGACACCAGACTACTCACATCTAACACTCTGGGGTTATAAGACCTTGCACAGATACTCCAGGTAGGGCCAGACCTCCAGCAGGTGGGTTTTATATTATGAACCTTTGAATAAGTTAGAAACAATTATGTGTGTGTTAGCTAAGTATCTGGGATGAGCCTTCCACTACTGGTGTATATGTGTAGATACTTAATGAACTCATGTGGCTTTTTTTAAAAAACACAATGAAAATGACAGGATCCATGTCTTGAAGTTCACTGCAAAATTAAAAAAATTAATAATTTGTATAATTAGTTAGAATCATGTTAAGCCCATTAGACACTTCACAATGTTCAGCAGCATAATGGGTTTGTTTCTACCTTTTTCCACACACAAAAACAGCAAACCATATACGTGTGTGTGTGTGTGTGTGTTTGTAATAGCTTCAGTGGAAATTCACTGAACAAGCAGGAAGACAGCACTATCAGAGAAGGGAGATGAGACTAAGGGAGACACAGTCAAAAGGGAATGTTTGGGTTTGGGGTGAAACTTACAGGTTCCAGGATAAATTTGATACCTTTAGTACATATCCACACAACCTACATATACATGTGAGATTTTCTGAGTTCTGAACATGGCCATAGTAATAAGATCTCACCCAGTGCCCAGCTTTGGCATTTCTCGTTGCCAATTCTTCAGCAGAACTAATTGCTGACGCATCATTGGCAACAAGGGTGGTGATCACTGGAGAGGTTTGGTGATCACTGGAGAGGTTTGGGAAGGTCAGTTGCCAGCGAGTGCTGAGAGTCGGTGAACCTATCAAAAAGAGGTGGCTATTGGCAGGACTGGGATCTGATGGGCAAGCCTTGTCCTATTAACACAGGGCTAATTAATAAAAGGGAAAGAGGGCCATTAGAGTAGAATGCCATTGTTGACTGAAAACCCTCGCCTCACAGCTCATAGAGGAAAAGATTGATTTAGTCAAGAATGATAACACCATGCAAAATCATGGGTTAGAATTTTTAGGGAACAGAATATTTCTCCAGTCTCACAGTGCTCTTTTAAAGATTACTGACCAAGAGCAGAGAAACAGTAACCAGGAGAAAACAAAGATCCCTTATCCCAGTGGAAACTGTGAACACCACCAGGGATAAACCAGACCATTGCCGTCTGGAACTCAGGGAATGAAGTGTCCTTCCCTTCCATGGGATTCCAGTTTCAATCACAAGGAAACACCAAGTGACTCTGAACTCTGGCTCACAACCAGCAGTCTCTCAGATTTTAGACATGGCTAAGAGAGGTGCTGAGAAGTTGGAACATTGCCTAAGAATAAAAGTGATGAAAAGGAAATGACCCTAACTGCCACATTCGTGGAAGAATGACAAAGGCTCATGCAGGGTCTGCTCACTGTGGATTCGGTGTCTATGAGTAAACATCTGGTAATTCACTGAGCCCATGGAAGATGATGTCCTCATGTCCAGGAAGTAACAGAGATGTTTAGATATGGAGGGAGAGGAGAATGTTCCAGAAAACACAAGAAGAGATAAAAGGACAGGTGAAGACAGAAACAAAATCTTCATCTGTAGAAAGAGCATTTGGGAATTCTAATTTTTTAAAACCTTTAAGTTTAAAAGTTATTTTTTTAAGTAACTCAAGATAATAATGTAAACAATAGGTATAAATTACCACCCAATTACAGATACATAAGTTGAATAATTATAATTTAACAATTATCATACATATTTAAAGTGGGTGTATGTATGTGTGTGAGAGAAGGAGGAGAACCCATGTATAAATGATAAAAAGTATTCTTCTAATAGAGGTGAAATGGCTTAAATAAATTTAAAATACTACACATAAATAAAGGTCACAGCACATATTTTTTTGCCCCATTTCTTTTTTTTTTTTTAAAGTCACATGGTCAGACTGCATGAATAAGAGCAGGGCTTCATGGGACATCCTGTCAGCACACTGGCCATGGCTATGTGAGCTCCAGCAGAAAGTAGACAAGGCATCCTGACTGCCTTGTGCCTCTCAGAGCTGCGTGAGGGGGGGTCTCTGGGAAAAGGCAGTTTTATTTACTTGTACTTTGAGGCTCAGGTGAGTAGGACCCCCTACTTCATTGAAGGTAGACCACTAACTTCCTCAAAAAGCAGGCCCCTCCCCCTTCCTGGAAGGCAGACCCTCCATCTTCCCCAAAGTTAAACCTCCGACCTCCTCAGCTGGGTTTCCTACTGCAAAGGGTACTTCACAGGCCGTCATTGTTTATCAGCTAAATGTCCCTATGATTGCTTTCCATGGCATTGTAACAATCCGCAGATTCATATAACACTATCACAGCCAGTCAGGCTTCATTTGCCGGCATGATGACATGTATAACTGCAGTTTGTAGGCCAAGTGTAGCCACCACATGTACCTGTACACATATTGCTATAGGTGGGAAGCTGTGTATCTTTGCATGGTCTAGAGCTACTTAATATCCTGTTGTGCTAGCAGAGCTGGTTAACTGCAAAGTTAACAAAGTCTGACACACCTTCTGTGTCCTCCATGGAAAGCACCCACCACCTCACATAGAAATCACAAATATGCTGAAGGGGAATATTGTAAATTCAGTCCTCCTGCTGAGAACTTAGCCACAGTCAGCCACATTTTCTTGGAGTCAAATGAACTTGTTAACAAAAGAAAAAGTTTAAAACACAGGCACTCTATATGACAAACAAGATTAAGACATCCCTAGCCATCATTTTCTCTAATTATGTACAGATGTGTTCTACCATTGCAAAATACCTAAATGAAACAAAGCACTGTGATAAGGTCTAAGACGTGTCAGACCTTCACACAGACAGCAAAAGGGAAGTGCATTGACAGGGAAAGCTGAAATAACTATAAGAAGCGGCCCACACTTCCTAGCAGGTAGGAGAGGACAAGCATGTCAAGTCTGCCTACTTATGTTCACCTGCAGGGTCTTGGTCCAGAGAACTCACAACAGCTGAGTGACTGAGAGGCCAGCAGAGAGGGCCACTGTGTAAACAGTGCATCACCACTATGAGGCTGTGACGTGGACAGAGACACCTTGAGTCAGTGGTGATGCAGATGTCTGACGTACAGTTCAAAGCATATGCCCGCTTCACAAAGCCTGAGTTGTCCTTCCAGGAAAGACAGATGGATCTGCCTCAGCTGGGGACTTCACCCTTCCGTAAGAGGCTACCAGAAACATGAGAATCATCAGGGTCTACCAAGAAAGTGATTACTTGAACAGACAGAATCACACATATATGATTATGGTAAATTATTAGAATATAGTGTTACATATTGTACAGAATCATAGTTTATATGCATATATTATATTAATATCCACTAAATAGGAGCCAATACATTTATATATGTATGTATATATACATGTATGCATTTATCAGCTTCCCACTTAGTGGACATTAATACTTCACAACTGAAGGAATACAAATATAAATAGCACTCTAGCTGTGACCTGGAGTCATCTTTAGTAATGGCATTCACCCTTCTGTGACCTAAATAAGTTTGGAAGCTACGTTCATCTTCATTCATCTCTACAGATGAGTTCTTTTATATTCATGCACTGGCATAGTAAAGGTGTTTTACTAGCCTGTCTGCTGCTAAAAGCTTAGTCAAATTTGGCTTTCTACGGAACTCCAAATTAGGCCGTAATCAACGTACAGTGTGGCAACATGCTCATTATCCCCAACACTAAAGAGTAAATGGTTTTCCAATTGCCCTTTAGGGTGAGAGCACATTTTACAGGAAATTACCCTGAGATCAAGAAATAAGTGTGAGGAGAAAATCAACTTACTTTTCATTACAAACAGGAGGTTCTGTGAAAGGGAGTCTTTGTTTCTTTCAACTGCTCCACCAATTTCATACATTACCTGTAATGAGACAAAAATAGCAAAATTTCTGAAGGCTAAAAGGTGACTGTGAAAAACATCCTGTTTTAAAATAGCATTTGATTTAGTTGGGACTTAAAGGTCCCTGAAAGAAACACCTTCAGGTTTCAAAGTTCATGTTACATATAAGGGTAAAGCTGGTTGCCCATTCCCAGAACAGGTACAATCAAACTGCTGTGTGAGTTGGGTATCACAAGACATTGCATTGAACAGACTGTTAACTATCAGCAGCTTCACCTACTCTAAAGAGACCTTTCTCAGCAAGGCTGGTCATGACAGATGGGACCCTCGTCAGAAACTGGATGTGTGTGTTTGTGTGTATGTATGTATGTATGTTTTACACAGTAGACAGTGTTGTTGAACATCCCATAGTGTAAAACGCCTGCACATGATAAATGATCATTCAACTCACAACTAGTGTGGGGGTTGCCCAGTCTGGGCAGAAACCCCCCCAGCTTTTCTATTCTTCTTGTGTTAAGGAGGTCCACCCAGTGACAACACACAAGACAAGCTACCTCATCTTTACAAACATCTGGGTCTTTGATGAGCCCGTTTAAAGTCCACTGGTTCTGGTTTAAAATTTCCAGAATGGTGGTAGGCACCAACCTGCGTTGGTAACTCTGTGACGAAATGCCAAGGGAATTTCTTTGCAGACTGCTCAAAAGTTAGACAGAAAGTCCTATGTGCTGACTCAGCATCTGACTGGACCATAGAATTTGGTTGTCACTTCTTCAACCCATTTTTAGAAAATTAATGGCAGCTTAGCTCATCTTCTCCTGGCCTAACCTCCAAAGTCTCTGAGAAATCAGTGCTGCTTTGGGCTTTCTTCCCAGACTCCCTAATGGCCCTTCCAGATACCTGTGACATTCTTGTGATGATTGTGTCCACCCTCCCCTCTCCCAACATCCCTCTTCCTGGCTCCACATATTCCAGGTGCAGACACTTGGCAGTATTCCAGCCCCAGGTATTTAAACCACAGCCCTCATCTCTACCAACCTATGGCATCTTTTCACTCTCTCGAAGCTTATCTCCATCCCTGCTCACAGCCCTCAACTCCTCTAGAGCTATGAGATTGGTGCTTCACTCAGCTTCTTTCAGGCCTGGAACCCCAGACTGACCACAGTATCAGCTGGCTGGCACTGGGTTGCCCCCACATTCCTGACTGTGACAGCAGGGGCAGGGCAGCCCTGGTCTTGAGGAGGAATCCTCTCTGCTCCTCACTTCCTCATGCTGAGGTTTCAGATCAGCCCCATTTGCTAAGAGTTCCCTGAGTCACCTCTTGATGACATTTCTCTGTACACCCAGGAACTGTCAGAAATACTTTCCCTGATCTTCAGGTTCCCAGCAACATGTCTAATCTCACTTGTTCTCAGTAGCTGACAGCATGTCTTGCTTTCAGAGAAAAGCTAAGACTCTCACTTGAAAACATCTCTGGGTTCTTATTTCCTTTCCAAATAGCCCTTCATTCCATCTTCTGCACACTATTAAGGTGGAGAGCTTGGTATGACCAGAATGGCCTCCCTCCCCCTAGGACTGTCCCTACCATCTAACAGTGGCTAAAGCCCCTGCATTTGTCCCTTCAGTTCCCACATTTTTATACTTAGTGATTCATGCTAGTAAAAAGTACTGCTACTTATTATTATAACTAAAATAATAAAAGGCAAAAGTTTATTTCTGCCTTCTACATTCTCATCTGAGTTTATGCCAACTCCAATGTTAGTTGGGGAGGACTCCAACTTATAGGTTCTAGTCTATAATAGTCTATTTTCTACATGAGAATCCAATCCAATGATTCCAAGTGAAACACACACATGAACATGTGCACAAAATTAGCCACATGCATGTGCACACATGCATGCACACACACACATACACACCAAGACTAAACTTACTGTTTTCTGTAAACACCTTTATTTTCTTGTTCTTGTCATTGGTTTATATCATGCTGTCTTCTTCTAACCTCCATGTTAAAATTGTTACCACCAGCTCACTATCCACAGCAACTAGCAAATGCCTCATCCATTGGGCACACTTGATGACTTTTCAGTGAAACTGACAAGTGGCTTTTCTACCTTGTAACTGAGAATGGATGCTACAGCATGGTCATTCTTAAGATTATACAGGTGAGTGTTTTGTTTTTAGGGAATTTTTCACACATGATGCCCTGCTCTATAGAATTAGAGTCAAGGCTGGCGGTCTCTACCAAAACTGAAGCTCACAGTTTCCCTAATGGAGATTCTACTGGCTACCTTTCCTAGAAAAACATAACACACACACACACACACACACACACACACCAGCATTCAATGATGGCTTGGTATTTATAGGTAGGAAGCACAGAGTGTGTGGCAAGAAGAATTCATCTTACAGCAAGTACTTTTGCATAAAACACTATATCACGGTGTAGGCAGGCTTACCTACTTATGCTGTACAGAATAAATTTATGAATCCTTTCAGTCCTCTTCCAGGGGGATAAATCACATTCTATAAAGTTCTCCAATTGTAAAACTTCTGACCCACCTCTTAAGAAATGGATGAATCCAGTACTGACAAGATTTGAGTTAGCAAACACTGGGCACTACCACAGCCAATACAGTAACACAAGTGCCTAGTTGTTTCTTATGATTGGCAGGCATGAATTCTTCAAACTTGGATTCAAATAATTTTTCTAATCTCAAATCTGAAATCAAGTATTTTATCTGGCTTCCACAGAATATTTTAGTGGGAAATGATGTTAGACACAGTCATTCATGCCTGAAGCAGCACAACAACCTGTTATTTGAGGGGTTGGTTTGTATTTTGCAAAGGGCATATACAATACATATGTATATAATGTAAGCATATATACAGACACACAAGACACTTGTTAAAATGCATTATTTAAAGCTAAAACACAACCAAACTCCAAATTTTGTTTCTTATTGAAGACAATTCCATCTAATGAGCTTGTCATTGGCATTGCAAACTCAAAATTACTATGACATGGATGCTGCTGTCATGAACATGCGGCAATGAGACTACCTGAGCAGGGCTTGAAATTTACCAAGAACAGGGAAGACAGAAAGGAACAGAGGGAATGAGAGATATGAGGATAGGAAGGGATCGGGTAGTAAGGAGAGGGCTGGCTGGAGTGCAGAGGAGTAAAAAGGGTGATAGAGGTGAATGTGATCATAAACCCCATATTCAAGACCATACTGTTAAAACTAAAAGTCTAAATACAAGGTGGCACTTTTGTGGCAGGAATAGTATCTTTTAAATATTACAACTTATGACTTTAAATTTAGGATACCTTGAGTCCCATGATTTTGTAAGGGATAATGTAGGTAAGTTCTGTGTGTCTCTAACCAGTTTCCTTCCATGACAAAATCCTATGATCTAATCAAAACTGGGAAATTGACCAATGCAGTGAGACTACAGAGTATTTACATGAGGATGGGGACCTGTGTGTTCAGAATTTCTGTTGATATACCCCTCCCAATTTGCTCAGTCCATTTGTATGTCTAATCTTGGCTCTTTTTTGGGTGGAGTCCTCTGCCCTCTGCTACTGTCTTGAATACAAAGCTTTGAAATGTCCCATGAAGTGCAGTCAGTTGGTTCTTCCAATTTCACTCTTTACAAACATCATTGTAGCTACTTTAGTGCCATTTTACAGAAATGTGGCCTATGCTTCTATATCTACAAAAATACCTGTTTTGCTACAAGGTCTCATTAATTCTTGTTCTTCCTACTTCTGCTTCCTCAGCACTGGCTTCACAGGCATGTTCCGCCAACCCCCCCCCACACTCACACACACACACACACACACACACACACACATGCACACACACTGTGACTTTGGTAGGAAATGTATGACATTCACCTGTGAGGTGGACCACACTGATCATTCCTAAGCCAACTCACTGTGCTGTCTTCTATCTATGAACATTGTATGTCTCCTGTTTGGGCTCTGGCTTCTTCCACAACCATTTTGTGCTTTTAAGTTCACTCTTTCTATATATGTTTTATGAGACACTTTTGCCTGTGTATTTTATTTCTTTTTCTTTCTTTCTTTTTTTTTCTTTCTTTCTTTTTTTTTTTTTTTTTTTTTTTTTTTTTTTTTCCGAGACAGGGTTTCTATGTGGCTTTGGAGGCTGTCCTCAAACTAGCTCTGTAGGCCAGGCTGGCCTCGAACTCGCAGAGATCTGCCTGACTCTGCTTCCCGAGTACTGGGATTAAAGGCATACGCCACCCACATCCTGCATTTTATTTCTTTTTTTGAGTGATTATGAATGTTGTTTAATTTATGTCTCCATAAGTGACATAAAAATACAACAAACTTTTACATTTTCCTTGTACATTTGTAAGACTTTCTAAATTGAGAATTTCACACATGAATGCTGTATTTGCAACATCTCCACCTCTCCCCCCACACTCCAACTCTTCCCGTGCTCCTCCCTGCACTCCCTCTCAACTTTGCAGCCTCCCCTTCCTTGTTATTGTTATGTCATATGCCCTGGCTGAGCTTGTTATTTCTTTGTGGTTTTCCTTCTTTTTTAGTGGATTCCTTGTGATTTTGTCCACTGATATTCATGCCGTATATAAATAGGGATGGATGTTATCTTTCTCTTTCTTCCTTCCATCCCTCCCTCCTTTCTTCCTTCCTTCCCTCCTTCCTTTTTTTCTTCCTTCCTTCTTTTCTTCCTTTCTTTCCCTCTTTCTTTCTGTCAGGCTTTTATTTCCCTTCTTATCTCATTAGATTCACTAGAACCTCCAACAAATGAACACTATGCTGTGGAGTGATGACAGCCAGCATCTTTGCCAGCCTCTTGATGCAGTTTCCACGGCTACATACTGCATTAGCAATGGATTGCCTGGGATGCTCTTTCTTGGGGTGAGCCATCTCTTCCAGTGCAGTCTTTTTGGGGATTACATATGATATTAGCAATGGACCACTCTGCTGTGGGTGCTCTTTTTTGGGGCAACACCATCTCCTCCACAGCTGT